CCCTCCCCCTCCCTCCCCCTCCCTCCTCATTCTTCCTTCACCTCTGCCCTCTCTTGGCCTCTCCCTCTTACCCTCCTTTTCCTCTCCTTCCCTCGCTCTCCCTTTACCCAGTTGGCTATTATGGCGCACATGCAGCCATGCAAATCGGAGCACCTCTCATTCTCTATCACTCTGTGTATGACACGATCCGCTGGATCGTGAGTGGCAGGCTTTTTTTGTTTTTACACTTAAAGCCACTGTTGCACACCCCGACGGTCGGTGGGCCTTGACTGGTCGGCTGCCAACCAGCCGACCGGTCAGCTGGTCGGCACCTGCCTGTCGGGGGTCGTCAGCACCCCGCACAATTTTTTTATGTTTTGTCTTTTGTGCAAGTGGTGACGAGTGGAGCCAGGCCCTTAGGGGCACTGCTCGTAGGAGAAGGAAGACAAAAGAAAGAAAGAGAGAGCTACGACAGTAAGTAGTTGTAGCCCATAACTGCTGGAACACAGACCTGAATTCGGATCCAGAAGATATATTGCTGGCGTGCTCCTTGCTCATCCGAAATTCGTCGAGAATCTCCGCTGAGATGTCAGAGCCCTGCAGATCCTCTTCTGGGGGCCGTTCAGAAAAAAAGCTATATTCAATGAGGAATACGGGGCCCTAATTTCTTTTACTCTGCCCTTGAAATCTGTAGAAGTGAGGGGCACCTCTGGCTACCTCAGCCACCACCAATACCCCTATACACCCCCTCAACACCTCCAAACCGCCCCCCAACACCTCCAAACTGCAGCCCTGTGGAGGAAGAAGGCGGGTTGGCCCTCCCCCTCGGATATGGTGGAGAGGACCAAGGAGGAGATTCCGGGGGAGTAGGAGGACGAGGAGTAGACTGTGAGCAAGGAGGAGACTAACAAGGGAACTTACCTGGCTATGGTGTTCTGCATCTTCATCTTGTTGGTTGGCGCTGCACCTGGAAGGCCCCATTTGGGGTTGGCACCTACAAGGAAGACTTTGGGGGTATTGCTAGGCTTGGTGGCCATAGTAGGAGGGACACATTAGCTTTGCTTTGTCCTCTGAATATCGAAGCTTCACTCCAATAGTCCACCATAGCCACCTGCTCCGCCAAGTAGGAGGAAGGTGTATGACATGGCTATGGTGGACCTCTTGAGTGGCTGGCAGTAAGGGGAGGATTTGGACATTGGTTCTGGTTCATTCTTTCATCGTTATTATTATTATTCTAATGAAGAGTTGGGGGAGTAATTGGAGATGGTGGCGAGATGAAGGGGGATTGACATTGGTCATTGCTGGTGTTCATCTTCTTCTTCGTCCTCTTCTTTCATTCTTATTTCTTATTCTTCCTTTGTCTATTTCTCTTTCCAAGTTCTTTCATTTCAGTTGCCGTTGAATGGCAGCATGTTTTCGACGTGTTTCATGAATCACTGCTTGTTCACATGAGAATGGTGAAGTCGATCGTGGCCTGCTTTACATGCTGCTGTCCCACTTCAACCCAAAAAGGCCGGCCTTTTTGGGTGAAGTGGTCCCCAAAAAAGGCCTTTTTCTTTGGGTATCAGCTCGTGCTGATTACGCCCCTGCCCCTTGTACACACCGCCCGTCGCCCTACCGATTGAATGGTCCAGTGAAGTGTCTGGACCACTGTGCTGGGGGTGGTGTGCGAAGTTCATTGAACCTTGTTATCATTTAGAGGAAGGAGAAGTCGTAACAAGTTTTCCGTAGGTGATCCTGTGGAAGGATCATTGCAAAAAAAAGAAAAAAGAAAAAAAGTTGGTTTCCGAAAGGCGTTTTGCGCCCCGCAAATGGCCTTTTGGTCCCACTGAAAAGCCTTTTGGGACCACCAAGGCAAACAAGTTGGAGCTCTGCCATCAGGGGCATGAACAAAGCCTTCAGGAAGTAGTCAAACAGCAGGAAAACAATCAACAGAGATCAGCATTGAATGATTGAACTGTTTTTTGCTATCGCAGATAAACAATCATCAGGAAACAATCAAGTTGAATCAACAGAGATTACATTTTGTTTGCCTGCAGGACACACTGGTTTTCGGTAATTCATTCAGGCTAGTTTGATGGATTCACAAACTCCTTTCTCAAGGAAAAAAAATGTTTGCCTGCAGCACGCACTGGTTTTCAGTACGCCCGGTCATTATCGAAGTATCTGGATGGAAAGTTGCCCCAAATACAACTATAATGACCGGGCATTCTATTCGGGTGAAGACAATAGCTTTGAAGGATTCAAAAACTTCTTTCTCTATGTTTGTGTGCGATGCTCTAGTTTTTTCTTGGGGTGATGAATTTCCAATGGCGCAGAGTTTATTGAACTTTATTCAAGGAATGAGCCCTCGCGGGGCCCTTATCAGACATGCACATGTTCTGGGCAGAGCCCCCCAGCAAGCCAAGTGCCCGCCCTAAGTGAAGGCAGGCCTGAATATTCACTAGAGGCCAGGGTTGCACCCCAGCCGACCGCCGACCGTATTGCAGCCGACCGGTAGGGCCGACCAGTCAGTCGGCGGTCTGCCGACCAGTCAGAAAACAGTCATCCGCTGATTTTTTCCCAAATCTGAGTTCGGGGCTGCACTGCGCTTGCTGAGTAAAGCCCAAATCCGCTTACAAACTTTGGTTTCTGTGATTTCTTTTTTTGGTGGGTGGATGGGGGGAGAGGGAATCGGGGGGGTGGGGGTCGGGGGGGTCGGGCGGAGGTCCTGGGGGTGCCTGTTTCATGCTTATGAGGGGCTGTTTGAGGGCCCAGAGGGAGTTGATGCTTTGGTGTTTGGGGGCAGGCCGCAGGGTTGTTAAGGGGTTCTGTTTGGGGATGACCGGCGACATTCATACAGGCTCATACAGGCCGAGACAGCCTTATACACGGTTCAATCAATAGCAGCCGGGAATCACACTGACACGGACGGAAAAAGAAAATGGAAAAAAGAAGAAGAAGACACGAGTCCACGCAATCGACGCTGCAATTGCAGAAAAGCAATACTTGCTACACTTCATTATAGTCTGACTGACTCTAGCAGACTCAGACTGTCCAGTACGTCTGTGAAGTCAGCTTAAACGAAGTCCACCCTAGACATGGAGGACACAAACGACGAGGGAAGAAGAAGAAGAAGAAGAAGAAGAAGAGGAAGAAGAAGAAGAAGAAGAAGAAGAAGAAGAAGAAGAAGATGTCTCTCTCTCTCTCACCTGCTCTCTCTCTCTCTCTCTCTCTCTCTCTCTCTCTCTCTCTCTCTCTCTCTCTCTCTCATTCGCTGCTGCTACTGGTGCCGGTCGATGACGACGGGTCCGTCGATGAACTTGACGACTCTTCTTGTTCCTCAGCGGAAGATGAAGCGCTGCTGCTGCTAGACTCATCGTCCTCTTGCACTCTCTTCCTCGTATGTATTTTCGGAGACTGCGAGACTGCGGTGACTTTCTTTTGAACTCTTCGCGACTTCCTCTTCTTCGCCTGCCGAACAACAGCATGCTTCTCTTTCAAGGTCACTGGCGGTGTGACTGTCTTGCGTCCGTTGCCTCTTCTACCTCTGGTCGATGGTGCAGCTGTCTCCTTCGGCTTGTTCTTCCCTCCTTTCTTTCTGCCCGCCAGACTCCTAACTTGGCGCACCTTGCTGGCATCGATTTCGGGTGGCGACGTTGACGCATGTCGTGCAGTTGCATGTTGTGGTGGGTCAGGCCCTCCAACCTCAGCAGCTGCGGTCCTCCTCCTGTAGACCATGCCTTGTGATCCTTCCCCAGCCGCAGTTCGAATGTCCTCGCTCAGCTGTAGACCGGGTGGGGTTGGTCCAGTGAATGTGGCCCAATCAGGGGTCTGCTCCTCAAAATCGATCCGCATGGGGACATCGCAGACAGGTGTTCACGGAAGTCCTTGTTGGAGTCGCTCGGGGCAATGGGGGACACATGGTGCAAAAGGGCGGTGAACCCCTCCCCCATCCCCAACCCCGGGTCAGGAGTGGAGAGCACATCGCCGCCCGCAGCGTCGGTGACCTCCGCTGTTCCAGGAGGCGGGTCGTCCATGTCCGCACCGATGTCTGCGTCCCCATGTTCCGTAGTACCACCAAAATCCACATCAACCTCCACCGCAACATTGTCCCCGTCAACGTCCGCCGAACCCCCGCCTGTCGTACCGTGGCCCGTGGGTATCTGCTCGAGCACAGCTCGTCGATGAGGGGTGAGTTGTGCGCCCGAAAGTGTGCCAGTGCCCTGTACTGAAGCCACACCACCTGACGCAGAGCTCCGTCGTCTCGTACGCACACCGGTGTTGACTGACAACGTCATTGAAGGAGCCCCCGAATGCCCGCCGGATGTAAGGACCACCGGCGGTGTGATGTCGTCGTGTCTAGCGGAACATGAGCCGCCGCTCGAGCGCCTGGTGGACCGAATGTCAGTGAGCCGCGCATCAAGTAACTCATCGTCGCCCTCACTATTGCGACTCTCCTCCGCGTCGTCATCATCAGCAACAACGCTCTTCCCGTGGTCGTCGTCCACGACACAGCGTGGGCGGTAGGAAACATCAAGGAGCCATGCCGCGTCGTCCACCCTCTCCTCCAGAAGCTCATGAACATCGAATTTGGTGCCCTTCGATCTGCGGCCACGAGATTTGGATTAATTAGCGGCCCTCCTCTTCACCTCTGCAGGGCCGTAGTCCCCATCTCACATGAAACCATCGAAAGGCGCCTCGTCCTCTGGTGTCTCCCACTCAGCCGCTCAGTGTTAATGAATCCCATCTTCGCCGAATGTGGACCAGTTCCTCTCACACGGAGAGGCTGTGGTCCACATGCTGAGCACTTCGACTGCGATCTTTGTCAGGGTTGGGTGCTTCTTCCCATAAGTCAACCACCACTGCGCCACAGACACATGCTCGCTTGTCAAAGCCTTCTCAGAGTTCTTGCCATGCCACTCCGGATCCATGTGATGGAAACTCTTAAGGGAGTTCCAACATTCTTTGTACTCCTTTGAATTCTTAGGGTGAACCGAAGCAAAGTGAGTCAAAGTGTTTGTGATCTCCTTTGATGCATAGTCGTCAAACAGTCGAGGTGATCGGTGGAGCGGGTGCAACATCCACGCCGCTGCATGCACAGGGAGAGCCATCATCCGCACACGGTCTTTCACCTTCGCCATCACGAACTCCCTTGTCTCACAATCCATCGATAGCATGGCAATTCTCTTCTCCAAGGTGATCCCCCCCACACCTGCATGCCCATCCTCCCGTCTCTGTCCATGGACTTCATGAGGTAGTAAACAGGCTCTATCTAGCAAGGTACTTGCCCGCTCCACAGACAACCACCAAGCCGGGTCTCGTATGAGCTCCTTGCACGATCGAGCCCGCGTCGCTGCGGTCCGATCCCATGGAGAGGTTTCCACCGTGGGTTGGAAACCATCGCTAGCAACACCCCTTCACACTCCCGAAGTCGCTGCAGCATGAGGAAGTTCGTGCCGAATCTAGTCTCCCCGGGTTGGATCAACTCCAACGGCCTCCCGTCTTTGATACCCAACTGTGTCCTGCGGAACATCGCCAACGCCCGCTCATGTCTCTTGATGAAAGTTGTGATCTCCCTGCCCTGCAGGATCACCTCCCCAATCCATGACACCAAAGCAATGTCACACATGAGCAAGTTGCAAACATGGCATGCGCACGACACCCATGGAATGCTTCGGATCGCAGGGTCCTCGTGCTCGGCCAATATCTTCCGGGCAGAAATGTTGACCTGTGCTGAGTCGGTGCATATGGCGTTGACCCTATGCAACCCCAACTCCCTTATGACCTCCTCCCACATCCTTGCCAAAGCTGGGGCCGAATTATCCTTCCCCTCCATGTCCACGCTCCTCACCATGAGAGCCCCCGAATCGCCAACAGCAAGGAAGTTGATGACCGGCCTGTTGCTGGTCGTCGTTGTGCCATCTGTCATCAAGGTCAAGCCTTTGACATCCCACGGCTCACGGATTTTGTCCAAATCTTGATCCACGGCTTTGTACTCTGTGGGCAGGGCCTTCGTCCTCAAGTGCTTGTATCCTGGTAACCGCCAAGTTCATGATCCGTTCCATGTTCTTATACAAGTCTGATCTTGCAGCATTGAAGGCGATGGCATTCTCAAAGAAGAAAGAGGCGACCGCCTGGTTAAACTCTTTCTGTAGTTCATCCACCATGAAATTGTTAATGGACTACTGTTGTCCACCGGATGGAGGTCGCGGAGGTCGAACGACAGCTAGAACGGGCCCCCACAGGTGCTCAACAATCTTCGATTGGAGTTCAGGCCCCTTGGAAGCTGGAGCGGTCATGTCGGCGAAAGATGTCGAGTCAAGACCAACACCCCCCGCCCCCCCAGCCGTTGAACCTGTGTCACGCCTGCCATCTCCCCCTGCCGACGATGTGTCGGGCTCCGCCGATGCACCCGCTTGATCTCCCGAGGCAAGATCCTGTGGATCCTCGCGACCACCGGTCGGCCCTGTTCCTTGTAGTAGTCGTTCAGTTTTCCAATCATTTCACGGGGGATTGGCACCTTCGGGTGGTCCCTCCTTATCAAAGCCAGAATCTCCCTGGTGGTACGCGGACAGCGGGCAGTGGGCGAGAATTGGGTGTGGTGATTCACCACTTTGCTAAGCGTGTCGATGAACTCTTTGTTGCACAGCCTGCTGCCACCTCCACGAGCCGTGCGACGTGCCGCTTGTCACCCTCTTCCCTCGATCTGCCCATCTCCAAAGCTGCGACTTGCTGAGCGTCCTTTCTCTCTCTTCACCAGTCTCGGGCTGAAACGGTTCTCGACTCCTCACCATGGTGGTCGCAGTGTAGGTAGGTGGTTGGTAGGAAGAAGAGGAGGAAGAAGGGGGGGAGGGGTTGGGGGGGTTGGTGTGTGCCCGATGCCCAGCGATTCTTCGAATATTAAAAATAAAGAGAAAAGTGGAGGTGAGTGATGGTAGGAGGAAGAAGAAGAAGAAGTTAAAGATGGTGAAGAAGAAGATGTCGTAGAAGAAGATGGAGAGAAGATGGACAAGAAGAAGAAAGGAAGAAGATGAGGTGTGTGCCTGCTGCTCGACGATTTTTTGAGTATTTAAAAAAAAAAAAAACTGGAGGTGGTTGATGGTAGGAAGAAGAAGAAGAAGAAGAAGAAGAAGAAGAAGAGGATGGTGTTACATGCACAGATATGCAATGTACGTAATAACCGAGGATCTGCAATGTGATGAAAAGGACTGAATGGACAATGCGGTGCGAATAGAATCTCG